CACTGTAATACCTAATTGTAATATGTTTTATATTAACTAATAAAGATTTACAGCGTATAAGCAATTTACAAACAAAAAAAAAAAAATTATAAATTAATTAAATATTTAAACTTTTTTAGAGTTTTTTGAAATATTTTTATAAGATGTGGTGATTTAGTATAGTAGTCTAGTCATCACTCTTTCCAAATAGCAGGTCTAGAGTTTAAATTTTATAGATAATGAGTTTGAAAAATAGGCTTGTGTTATAGTTGATAGTTGTCAATTATTGGTTGGATCTAGAATCAAATTTGCAATCTTGGTTATACTATCTAGTAATAGGAGCTTTAGTACAATAAATCTAAGAAATTGGAATAACTGAAAACCTATTTAGAAAGTTCTAAATTAGGAGTAGCAGTAATCTTTGATAGTACTACAGAAGGGCTAAATTTAAACTGGGCCTGAGATTAGAGAACTGAACAACTAGGTTCAACATACTAGCTGAACTGCCGGGTTCTGTCACACTAGAGAAAAAGGACATATACTCCAAAAATATATACCAAGAGGAGGGCATCCTTTAGGCACTTAATGCCTGAGCAGACCAACTCTTTTGAGTTGTCGGCTAGAAGTAAGAGAGAAACTAATAAAGAATCCAGGTAAAAAAATAGTTTAAATGTAGATACTAGGGTCATTGTGAACCTAAATAAGGGCAAAAGTAGGTAATTGCAGAGGTTCAATAGTTAGCCCTAACTCCAAGTATATAGGTAGAGTCATGTATAGATTACCAAAGCCTAGATAGATATATGTATAGCAAAATAGTAATATCTTACTATCCAATAAACAATAGGCACCCAAAGTTAAAATAAGCAAACTTTACAGAATATGTTGACCTGTTGATAAGATAAAATAGGGGTTAATATAACTATACCAGGCTATAAGGTTTGGTATATCTTACTCAAGGTAGTTTATAGAGATTTAAAAACTAAAATACTATAAGAGATAAACCTGAAATATCTACAATAAGAGATGACTAATGAAGGTTGTGACTTGAAATACAGATCAGGTTTCAGTAGTAGCTTGAGATACAAACTCAGTGATAGCAGCATAACAAGTACTAGTTAAAAATTAGTTACCAATAATATACTAAAAATCTTAGTAAAAATAATATATATTATATATATTATATAGGCCGATTCATAAAATTGCTAATATCTCTTGATTTACTAATCAGATTAGAATAATTTAGCTACCAAAATGTTCGTCTCAATGAGGCGATTCTAACAAATACAAAAACATTAGAATCTAATTACAGTATTTCGAGAATGCTTAAGTTTTGTACAATTTTAATAGTATTTTTTTAAATTACTATGAAAATATCTTTAATGCCAAACAACTTTTGATCTACTAATTCAATTTAGGTGATTTAGTCACCAAAATGATCACCTTGATACGACAATTCTAACAAGTCCAAAATAATTTAACCATGATTACAGAATCCTGAGATCGTTAAGGATCAGTACAATATAAACAATCAACTAAAAAATGAGTTTTTATATATGAAACTTATTTCTTAATTGATTGTCTACATCATACTGATTCTTAATAATCTCAGGATTTTGTGATTAGGGTTAAATGATTTTGGGCTTGTTAGAATTGTCACATCAAGACGATTATTTTGGTAGCTAAATTACCCAAAATGAAATAGTAGACCAAAAGCTATTTAGCATTAAAAGCATTTTCATAGTAATTTGAAAAATCACTATTAAAATCACACAAAACTTGAGTGTTCTCAGAATCTTGCAATTGGACTTTAGCGTTTTTATGCTTATTAAAATCACCTTATCAAGACAAACATTTTGGTAGCTAAATTATTCTAATCAGGCTAGTAAATCAAGAAATACAAGTAATTACACAAATCAGCCTATATGTTCTACTACAATAAGTAATAAAGTAATACATTTTCCAATGTTTTTCTATTTAATTTAAATATTTTAATATTAAATAATTATTTTAAAGATAATTAAAATAATTCATATTAGCTGATTTCATTTTTTGAATCTTTTTTTTATATATATAGATCACCTTTTTAGAGCCTTTTTTAATTAACAAATTATTTAATTGGTTATCATGTTTATTAAGATTGTAGTAAACAAAATTTTAATATATGAATTATCACGTCTAACCCATCATCTGTCTCTTGAACCCATTAACCAAAAGGTAAAAGTAGTTATTAATTGTAAAAATTTATAAATGTATCTTAAATATTATATTTAATATATTTATAATTTGCTTATAAAACATATTTAATAAAATTTGGTTTATAAAATAGTTGTATAGATTATAATTTACTTTATAATTGCTTTTTTTTTATTTATTATATATTTAAAAAAAATTATTTATTATTTAATATATAATAGTTATCATTAGAAGAATTATTTTATAACTGTTTTGTTTGTAGAAAAAGCTATAAAACAAAATGAAGTTTGATGCGTCATAATACTATTATTTGTAGCTATAATAAAAATCTTTCAGGCACTTATAGTTTTCTCTCAAAAGCTAGCTTTGAATTAAAAAAAATGTTTGTTAAAATTATTCAAGATCAGCTAAAAGCATATTTTAAATATTTGGGATTGCAAAGAGTATTAATGCCATGTATATTAAGCCAATTTTATAGTGTATTTAAAGGTTATATTTATTGTCAGTTTCCAAGATCTAGAAGAGTAAGATGTTTGTTTCAAGGAAATAATACATACTTTTTGTTTGGTCAAATCTTAAATAATAAAAGTGGGGCGTTAAATATTTTGCTAATGAACAAAGAACTTATATTACATTTCAATCTCCATGTGAACAGACACTACAATTTAAAAAAAAAGAAGTCAAATCAAGAATTACACAAGTAACAGTAAATTGATACCAAAAAGTTAAAATCGATGCATATAGGTATACTATTTGGGCTGGGTATATTAGCTTTAGATTTTTAGTAGCAAGAGGACATTCTTAAAAAATTTGATAGCAAAATAAATAAAGTTATAGTTTAATTCAATTATTAAACTTTTTTATTATTAAACTTCTGTTAAAATTAATAACCTGTCAAATCTGATAAAATTAATCTACTTGTTCTATTTTTGCCATATAATTAAATAATATCAATTCAATACTGATATCAATTTGGAGAGATTCAACAGTAATTTTATTTAAAGAATGCATTAAAAATTTGTTTAAAGAACTTGAATCAAAGATATTTCAATATTTATAAAAATTAATCTACTCATTTTAAAATAAAAATTGATAACTAAGTTGCTTAACCAATTTTTTATTTATTGGTTTAGTCAATATTACTGTTTAACACTAAGTTAAACTAAGTATAGGTTATTGGTAATCTACAAATAATAATCTAATAAATTTATCTATATAAAAATTATATACCTACTATAAATAAAATCTTTCAAGTTTATACAATTTTGTTAGTGATATAAATAGCTCAAGCTGAGCCGTAAGCTAAATGGCTAACCCAAGCCGGTTAACGGCTTAGCTCCAGGCCTACTAATAAAGTATTGGCTCAAACTTTGTAGCCGATCATGAAGTTGTAAGCTGATAAATTAAATTATATTACTATTACTATAAAAGTATGAAATAACATTCATTTGTGCGCTAATTAAGAATTTCTAAATTCAATATAGTCGACCCTTCAATAAATGCATGTTGTTGGTGTAATAAAATATTCATTATAGAAATAATTTACATATAGTATTAACTTTCTCTATAATGATAAGTATATTCATTATAGAAATAATCCACATATAGTATTAACTTTCCCTATAATGATAAGTGCATATAATTTAATCGGTCTAATATAATTAGTATATATAAAGCTATATTAGGATATATGTTAATTCAGGATGCATATGAACACACTAATAATAAACTTACCTACTATTGTGACTTCAATAACACTGACAATTTATTTAATTGTTCAAATAAGGTTTTACCAAGCTACCTTTAAAAACCCAATGCTTCAAATATATAGAAAACTTTCTGAAATTAATTAAAAACTTTATTATTTTCTATTTAAAAAAACATCTCTAAGTTACTTATATAGAGTAGTACTTGAAGCTTCATCTGTAAAGAACCTCTTCTACTCTTCTACTATACTATATTATAAATGATAATTATATTTTTGTAAAAAAAAATTTACTATATAAATTTCAATTGCATAAAGTTGAGAAATCTATATATTAGAATAATAGCTTAGCTTTACTTAAGGTTAATTGCTTGTAAGCAGCTTAGCTCTACTTAACAAACTGAAAGATCATAACAATATCTAACATTATATTAGAATTACTAAACAGATGAGACCATTGATATTATTATGCTGATTTTTCACAATACCAGATTATTCGAGTAGTACATGTTATAATTATAATTCAACACCATTTTTACTAATAAAAATGGTGTTGGATTATAATCATAACATGTATTACCCGAATAATCCGGTATTGTAAAATTGATTTTTTATATGTTGCACACTATGTGAAAAAAAATCAGCATAATAACATCAATGGTCTTACCTGTTGAATTATTATCTTGAAATACCGTGAATGAAATCACAGGGTATTCATTTGTCATGAAATCAGAACCCATACCCATGATAACAAAATGAGTGATTAGTGAGGTATTGGCAGTGTTATACATGGGACAATTTTGGACAATTTTGAACATTTTTTCAAATTAAAATTACTCAAAATTTTATTAAAATAATCTATTTTAATTTTTTCACCACTGAGTCTAGTACCTAAAAAATATATAATTATATATTTTTTTAAATTACATTATTGATTAGTTAAACATCGAACATAGGCTTGGACGATTTTAGACAATCTTGGACATTGGACATTTTACATAGTGTGGACATGTTCTATATACAACACTGCCTTCAGACTTCTGAACTCTCAATGTATATGATCTTCTAGAGACGTTTTTGAGCTGGCACAATTGTCGGATCGAGGACGTTATGCAACAAGTAAATTAACTATTAAAATAAAAAATAAAAAAATATATAAATTTTTATAATTAGTAAATTTGATACCGAATAATATAGTATTCAACCTGTATTCAATTAGTAGATTAAATGCAGGTCGAATACTATATATTAAATATTAGTTGAATTAATGTAACATTATATATTAAAGATTAGTCGAATAATATTAATTGAATTAATACGTATGACAGCATATATTAAATATTAGTTGAATTAATTTAATAAACAAAAAAAAAATTTATATCTTACTTGACCTCCAAGATAGGCCATGAACATTAATATACAGTTGTTCTCTCTTATCCGTAGCCTTACCAGGGTCTAATAGTTCAGGTGAATGGATGTCATTATCTATTAATAAATTTGTTAATTCATCTGTATTATATTTGGTGATCTGGGTATCTTTCTTTCCATGAAGGTACTTGAATGCTGAGGCCTGTCGAGCCATTTTCTGTAAGTTAGAAAAAAAAAAATATTATAATAAATAATGAAAATTATAATAAAATAAATAATGAAAATTATAATAAATAAATAATAAAAATTATAATAAAATAAATAATAAAAATTATAATAAAATAAATAATAAAAATTATAATAAAATAAATAATAAAAACATGCATCGCCTCTCCAGTAATTATTATATATATGTTTATCAAAGTTTTTTGTTTTATCTGGATCCTGATGTATAGCCCGAGTACTACAGATCAATTTGATATGTTGTTGCAGAATGCTTCCCAATTCTGACTGATCAGTATTAAACCACTGGCCCAAAAGGTATTTTTTTTGGTTCTTTTATTTTTTGGTAAAGTCAAGTCTATACTTTTTATCTTTTCTTTAAGAATGTAAAAAATTTCTTTCTAATAATAAAATTAAAAATAAAATAAAAAAATAAATTAATTATTAATTAATTAAAAATAAAAATAAAATAAAATAAAATAAAATAAAAAAGAGCATTAGTTTATAGCGACCCATTGCCATGGCGACCCCACAATCAACTAATCAAAATTGATTACATAAGCCATGTATTACCTATTTGTGACAAAGCAAATCAGCGAACACATAACTTACGGACCGATTTTGGTTAGTTGATTACCCAAAAAATATTGATAAATAACAAAATCAATTACTACAAATTAAAAAAAAAAAGCAAGTTTATCTATTACTAAAATTTTTATTACTAAAGCGAATCTCTATCACCACCAGAGACAACTCCAAAATTTTTTATTTTTTTTGCATTATCATTACATAAATTTTTAATTTATTTTCTCGAATCGGTATTACTGTATTATGATATCACAAACCTAACGAATTCTATTATTAATAAAAAAAAAAATTTAAAAATCGACAATGTCTAAAAACTCAAAAAACGTTGTCGAGTACTTTAATACACATCCATCTGGTGCTTTCATACACATTTGCCTAGTGCTTCTATATATGTTTATTTGCTGATGCTTTTATACATGTTCGCTCAGTGCTTATTCTACATGCAAGTTCGCCTTGCCTGATACTTATTCCAATTTTAGTGAAATTTAAAGAAAGAGAAACAAGTAGAAGTTAGTGAACAAGTCAACAGAAAAAATAGAAACAGATAATGGCACAAAAAAAAAAAAAAAAAAAAAAAAAATAGAACAAGGAACTCGTCTACATTCGTCTGGTACTTTTTCCATCTACAAGTTCGCTCGTGTGCTTATTTTACCTGCAAGTTCACTTCACCCAGTACTTATTCCCATTTCAGCGAAATTTAAAGAAAGAAAAACAAGTAGAAGTTAGTGAACAAGTCGACCAAAAAAAATAGAAACAGATAATGGTACAAAAAAAAAAAAAAAAAAAAAATAGAACAAGGAACTCGCCTACATTCGCCTACAAGTTCGCCCGGGTGCTTATTTTACTTGCAAGTTCACCTTGCCCAGTACTTATTCCAATTTCAGCAAATTTAAAGAAAGAGAAATAAGTAAAAGTTAGTGAACAGGACAATCAAAAAAAAAGAAACAAGTAATAGCAAAAAAAATAAAAAATAAATAAATAGAACAAGAAAAATTACTTACATTTGTCTGGTGTTTTTCTGTCCACAAGTTTGCCCAGTGCTTATTTTACCAACAAGTTTGCTTTGCCCGATACTTATTCAGTAAAGCCTAAAAAAAGAGAAATGAGTAGAAGTTAGTGAACAAGATAACCAAAAAAAAAAGAAACAGATAATAGTACAAAAAAAATAGATAAATAAAATAAAATAAAACAGGAAACTTACATACATTCACCCAGTACTTTTTTCACCTACAAGTTCGCCTGGTGCTTATTTACATGCAAGTTTGCCTCGCCCAATACTTATTCCAATTTTAGCAAAACCTAAAGAAAGAGAACCAAGTAGAAGTTATTGAACAAGACAACTAAAAAAAAAAAACAGATAATAGTACAAAAAAAAAAAAAAATAACAAAAAAACATTCACCCGGTGTTTTCTATCTACAAGATCGCCTAGTGCTTATTCCACCTGCAAGTTTGCTTTGCCTGGTACTTATTCAGAAAAACCTAAAAAAAGAGAAACAAGTAAAAGTTAGTGAACAAAAACAAACCGACAAAAAAAAACCAGGTAATGATACAAAAAAAAAAAAGAAAAGAAATAGAACAAAAGAACTCACTTACATTCGCCCAGTGTTTTTTTTACTTACAAGTTCGCCTAGTGCTTATTTCACCTGCAAGTTTACTTCGCCTGGTACTTATTCGATGAAATCTAAAGAAAGAGAAGTTAGTGAACAAGATGACCAAAAAAAAAAAAACCAGGAAGAAACTCCATGTGATATTTCAATTTGTAATATTTATACCCATCTATTATCATAATCCCGGAAGTTCACTTATTTTCGCTTGGTACTTATTTGCTACTGATGATCAAAACAGTAATACACAAACAAAAAAAAGAACAAACAAGAAATTTAATTTACCACATTCGCCTTGGTGCTTACTTATTCCACTTCCAGTAAACCTAAAGAAGAAAAGTCTAGAAATTAGTGAACAAGACAAAAACATAAAAAAAAAAAAAAAAAACAAGCTTATTTTTACCTATATGTTCTTGGTGCTTTGATAAAACCTTCTTGCTATTGTATGCAAAAAAAATAAAATAAATAAATACCGAAAAAAAAACAGATCTAGATCTAATCTAAATCGAGATCAAAAAGCTGATCTGGTAAAACGGCACATTCTTACATGATCGACCATGTGATTGGTCGATCTTATAGAGTCACAATGGAGACAAGTTGCTATTTATAATTTGTCAATAAAAAAATAAATTAATTATTAATAAAAACAAAAAAAATAAATTAAAATTATTAATAAAAACAAAAAAATAAGTCTAAAAATATATACACAAAGTGCCTTTTTTCTTTCATAGTTATTTTCAAAAACTTGATACACCTTATTACTCGCAGGAGCTTTTTTAGCTGTTTTTTGTTGTGCAGCAGATAAAGATTCTGATACATTTCTTTCTTCCCAATCGACCTGCTCTTGAATTATCGATAACTAGCAACTTAAAACTTGCAAGCTGTTGATCTGATCAACTAAGGAGTTATATGAACCCTGCAACATATCCAAACTATTCTCAAAGTCTTCGAACTTAAGATCTTGATCTTGTAACAAATCCACAGTATCTTCCAACTGCATAATTTTACGATCTTGGTCTCTTTGGATTTCACATAAGATATTGATCTCATTCTATAGCAACCGATTTTCTAAAATAAAAATAAAAAAATAAAAATAATAAAAAATAAAAAATAATAAAAAAAAAAACAATAAAAAAATTAGTAAAAAATATAAAAAAAAGTAAAAAAAATAAAATCAGCATTCGACAGCTATTTAAATTCTACCAGTGGATTTACTATTCTCCAGTCTTCTACTTCTTTCCAATAGATCAAAGTTGACCAAAGATTCGGTTCGTTCTTCACTTCTGCTTCTGCTTCTATTTGTTCTCACAGGAGACCTCATGATAGGAGTAACAGATTCAACAGAAGTCACATTTCCTAATAATCGGGTCAAAGGTTAAATTGGAGTCGAAGGTAAATTGTTAGATTAAGGTTGAATTGGGTTGAAGGTGAATTGTTAGGTTGAGGTTGAATTGGAGTCGAAGGTGTAGTTTGAGTTGAATTGGAGTTGAAGGTATAGTTTGAGGTTAAATTGGAGTTGAAGGTATAGTTTGAGGTTGAATTGGAGTCGAAAGTATAGTTTGAGGTTGAATTGGAGTCGAAGGTGTAGTTTGAGGTTGAGGTTGAGTTGGAGTTGTTGGAGTTAAAGGTGTATTGTTAGGTTGACGTTGAGTTGGAGTTGTTGGAGTTGAAGGTATATTGTTAGGTTGATAGTGAGTTGTGGTAAATGGACATCAGCTTGGGGGTGTTGTTCATTGAACTCTTTTTGTTCTAGCCATGGCAAAAAAGAATTTAGTAAAAAAAAATTTGAGAAGTGAAATTCGAGAAGTGAAAAGAAATTCAATAAGAAAGAGAGTAAAAAGAAATTTGATAAGAAAAGAGAAATTCCAGAAATTCAATAAGAAAAGAGAAATTGAGAAATTTGATATGAAAAGAGAAATTAGATATAAAAAGAGTGAAACAAGAAATTCGAAAAATGAAGAAAAATTCGGTAAGAGAAGAGAAATTATAAGAAAAGAGAAATTTGGGAAGTGAAGAGATATTTGATAAGAGAAGAGAAGAGAAATTTGGTAAGTAAAGAGAAATTCAATAAGAAAAGAGAAATTTGAGAAAAGATAAATTCGGGAGAAGAGAAATTCGGGAAGAGAAAAAAATTCGAAAAGTGAAAAAAAATTTGGAAAGTGAAGAGAAATTTGATTAGAAAAGAAAATTCGGGAAGTGAAGAGAAATTTGGTAAGAGAGAAGAAAAGAGAAATTTGGTAAAAGAAGAGAAATTTGAAAAAAGAAAGAAATTCGAGAAGTGAAGTGAAGTGAAGTGAAGTAAAGGGAAGAAAAGAGAAATTCAAAAAGAGAAGCAAAAAAAATTTTAAAAGAGAAAATTTAGTGAAAAAAAAACTTTAAGAAGAGAATTTTGAGAAGAGAAATTCAGAGAAGAGAAATTTAGAGAAGAGAAGAGAAGTTTCTCAAAAAAAAAAAACTATTCAAAATTGTTGTATATATAAATGATTTTTAAATTCCAATCGTTTAACAAAAATTAACTTCGCTATGAACGATATGTTATGAAACATAAATTTGACGAAAAAAAAAAAGATCTGTTATGTGCCAAAATATAACTTTTAATATGTTATAAGCCAATACATAAATTTGACTTTAAAAAAAAGAAAATTTCTTAATTTACACCAGGTATATATACACACATACTAATTTTTGATTTACGAATTTGTTTAACATATAAATTATAAACGAAAAATTAGTATAGCTTA